GGAAGCCCAATACTCATGTTCCTAAATTATATAAGGGTAAATTATATTATTCTGATATTTGAAAAAAAGTATAATACATTTTACAGATTTGATATAATTATATTGGATTTTTAAAAAGTTTTAATTCACATAATAATTAAGTATATTTTATTAGTAATTCGTTAATCATATAAATTGAAAAATAATATTATCATATTTTACACTAAAATATGTATAGATTTTTTGAATAAAGGTTGAGACTCCCTTTGGGGGTCACCCCCTTGACCCCCTTTAATTTTAATTGGTCAACTTTTTTTTTTTTTCTTTTTTTTTCTTCTCACCCAATCCCGAACCTCCATGTGTGTGAGGGGGTTGTGGGGGTGGGTGTTTTAAGGGAGTCTAAATCAAGCCCATATTTTTTATTTATACTTGTATTATCACATCATCTATACAAGTTTCGGCTCCTTTACTCTTATTTTAAATAATAATAATAATAATTATTATATCAAAATTATAATGTATTACATATATATATATATATATTTATTTATTGTAAGTCTCTAAAAAAAATAAGTATAATTTACCCATTATATTTAAGGGCGAGAGATTTATACAATGCCAAATTCATGAACTTGATAGCATGGGACCAGTCAATCAAATGAAAGATTTGTGTCTTTTTCTCTGCCTCCTACTTATGGAGCAAAGGGTGCTTTCATGCTTTAAATAAAATTTAAAAAAAATAAAAATAAATAAAAAATAAAATAAAAAAAGTTAAGACAAAAAGATTCATTAGCTTTTTTATTGGGATTGAATGCCCTCCAATTCGTGATTGAACCGGAGAGTATTGTTGGGTCTGTGGAGGCTCATCATGGGTTTCGTTTAGATAATCTAAACCGTTCAACGTGTAGAACTCGTTGAGTATTATATGTTTGTAAATCATCACGTTGATCGGATATCGATAACTATTTCATCGGATTAGATTTTCTATCAACCGTTTATTTTTTTACCGTTCATTTTTTTTTATATAAAACTGATTTGATCACGTAATTATCGATATCTGATCAATATGATTTTTTACAAGCATATATTACTTGACGAGTTCTACACATTCAACGGTTCAGATTTTCAAAATGGGACCTGTAGTGGGCCTCAACGGGCCCAACAGCACGGTCCAGTCCGATCTTGGACTGGACCAAAGCCAAACCCATCTATTTTATATGTGGTCCATAATTAACTTTTAAGCTACTTTAAAAAAAAAAAAATAGTGAAAAAAGCATTAAGTCTTTTCCCTAGAAATCATAGCAATGGTGTTTATTGTATTTGTGACCCATAATCTTTCTTTGTAGTTTCAGTCATTTCTCAACATTTCACTAGCAAATTTTTAAGTTCGAAAAAAATATATATTATATTTTTAGATAATTAACTTTAATACAGGAAAAATAGTGACAAAACAATTACTAATAAACCAAAAAACAAAAAAGTAACAAAAAAAAGCATTAGACAAGTCTCTTTCTCAGAAATCTCGTAACAATGATATCTATTTTATATGTGGTCCATAACCTTCTTTTTTTCTTTTTTCTTTTCTTTTTTTGCAGTTTCTCAATCATTTCTCTACATTTCACTACCAAATTCGCAAGTTTGGAAAAAAAATCTATATTTCAAAATAATTAACTTTAATGGAAGGAGGGTAGACATAATAATAATTAATATTTTTGTTAAGTTAATGTAAAAAAAAAAAAAAAAAAAACGTCTGATTATATTTTTTGGTTTCAATTATGTTGATAAAGAATATTCAATTAATACTAATATTATTCACTCTTTTGTGTTGATGTAAATTAAAATTAAAATTTTTACAATACTTATTTTCGACAAAAAGTTACTTGTATTTTTATCTCCTAAAGTTTAAATTATGGATTTGTTCCTTATTAAATATCTTGTAAATAATTGGACCTTTTTAACATTTTTGTTTGGTAAAAAAAAAAGGAAAATTGGAACTTGATATGAAAATTTTGTTTAATAAACTGTTTTTGATAATTACTTTTGGGAATAAGAACAATCCTTTTTTTTTATAGTGAAATTAAAAGTTCCTTTCAATAAAAAATGTGTAAACATTCACACTTTCTTATTTTGAAAATACAAAATTATTTGATAAAAAATTGTGAATTTTGACACTTTTTTCCACTAAGATTAATATGAAACTCATCTACAAAAATTCCATAGAGAAAGAGGGAGGGGAGAAACATTTCATTCACAAAAAATGAGTAATTAGTATGATATGCTTGTGTGTGTGGTATGAGAAAAGCCTCGCGCAGACCAAACAAAAACCATTACTCATTACAATATGAAAATAAACATGCGTAAATTTTAATCATTAGTTTTTATAGTTTTGTTTTGTTGTCATTTTGACCTCTGTAATTTTAATTAATTCAATTTCAATATTAAATTTTTTTATTATTTTAATTTAAACTAATTGACCCCAATGATTAAGTTTTTTTTTTAAAAAAAAAAAATACGAAAAGTTTGTACATAAGTAGTAAGTAGCAGGTATTATTCTAGTTGGCTACCATACCTTCCTTAGGACTTAGTCCCAAAGAGGTCATGGGTTCAATTCCTCTTAAAAAGGTTGAATTAAGGGAGTGCAAACACTTAGATGCTTTGTCAAGGGTGGGAAAATTTTCTCCTATAGGTACTAATCTAACAACTAACATTTGCCGATAAAAAAAAAAAAAAAAAACTAGCAGGTGTTATACTTGTAAGAACAAAATTATGAATTTTCTTAACTGAGTCAATCTCAATCATCTCATTAATGATTCAACAATGATACATCCCACTAATTTGGGAGCACTAATGGACCACTAATGAGGTGGAAATTAAAAAAAAAAAAAAAAAAACTTAAAGCCAAAACATCACATCAGTCAGTGAGACCCACTCTCTAGAGCTCCTTTAGTACTCTCAATTTAGAACTCCTAATCATTTTTTTTAATGATTTTACTTTAAAAACACTAATTCACATCATTAATTGAATTAAATTAATACAAAATTTAAGATTAAAGTCAATATAAAATGTGAGAATCAAAATGATATATGAGACAAAATATAAAAACTCTCAATTTAATTTACCCAATAAATATTACCACTTTTCCTATCTTGATTCTAAGAAAGATCCAAGGCTACAGGTTGGCAAGTTATCAACTTGCAACCTAAGACAAGCAAATAAAACGAACAAAAAAATCAAATCAAGGCCCAAAAGAAACGCACATAAAAAAAAATAACTAAATAAAAAGCTATGGCGAAATTTTTTTTATGATTAGCAGGCAAATCTTCAAAAAAATAATAAGAAATAAAAATTTTAGTCCTCAATCTATATTGAAGATAGTTGTTTAGATTCATAGAATTCGCTACAAGTTTCATTATGATAATCTAAACTATTATTTTCTTATTTTCTTTTTCCTTTTTTAAATTTTCTATTATTTAGTATTTTTAGAGAACTACTCCACATTATTTATGTTAGAATACTTGTCTAATATACCTTCTTAAACAAGGCCTAATAAACTCCTTATGCTGTATTTGATTGGAAAATTTGAAAAATAATTTGGAAAGAAAAAGGAAAAAGTAAGTTAAATATGAATAAAATATACTTACATTTTATCTAATTTCACACAACTTTTTTCTTTTTATATCCCTTTCAAAATTCTCCAACCAAACACAATATTAAACTATGACTATTTGCACTGAGCCCCTAAATTTTAAATCTCAAGAGTTAACTACTTCAATGTATTATCTTATTACGTTTAACACATTCCGTTAGAATATTGATAGTGATTTTAAAAAAAAATTAAATTATGTGTAAAGCATATGACATATTTATTATTTTTTAAGATAATAATACATTTATTTTGTGATCTCATTTACACTTTATCTCATTTATCTTAGTAACAAAGTACAAACAAATCAAAAAATAAAAACACTCAGTGTGTTTGGTTTGAGTTTTTTGAATTAAGTTTTTTGAAAACTGAGTTTTTTTATTTTCGTATTCTTTTGTTTTTAGTGAATATTTTTTAAATTTTAAACATTTTTTTTACTTTTTTAGATGCACCTTAGTTAGATGTATTTAAAAAGTAAAAAATTTGTGGCCGAGGTCATCTCCGAAGATGTCGGAATCCGAAGATAAGGGACAAGAGTCCTGAGGCAAAGAGGGGACTTAGTTAAGATAAGGATAAAGCTCTTAGGGAGTTTATCTCTATCTCTTAAAGAGTCCAGAGTAAGCACTAAGATTGGAATTCATAGAAGTCATACTTCTAGTTGGACTTGGATTAAGTATATTATAAAAGAGAGGCACCCCCGTGGGTCTAAGGTATGCAATTCATACTTTGAATATTCAGTCTAGTATTTGATTACTCTTGAGAAACATACTGACTTGATCGTCGGAGTACCCCCGGGTGGAAGAACCACCGCCGGAGCTTTTTCTCTCTGTTGCAGGTTGCTAAAGCCATCTATTCTGCCGGTGCTTTGCTGCTGATCACTAAACGGGCAGTGTGGTCAGATTTTTACCCACACACCTTGTGTCTGACACTTGAGCGGGGCTTTCCACGCTTGAGCGGACTACGTGTATTTCAGTTCGAGAATATGACATTTTGAATCACTTTTTCTTTTTTCTCTCTCTCTTAAACTTTCCAAAAAGCTTGTTTTTGAGCTTCTCTCTCTACAATTCACTCTCTCTCTTAGATTTCATCTAGATCTATTGGGATTTTCACCCTAGTGCTGTTGGGATTTCTCTTACAATTGCCGTTGTTTATTGAATTAATATGACATAATTAATAAAATTAAAAGGTAAAATTAATTAAATTAAAATAATAGGAGCCAAAATAAATAAATAAAAACGATGTCCTAAAAAAATTGAGTCCAGAAACTCGGCCGCACAATCCTGTGGCCATCCCTGCCGCACCCCCAAAACGACGTCGTTTTGGGGGAAATTTTCAATTAAAAAAAAAACAAGACAGAAACCAAAGGGGGGAAGAAGAGGAGAAGAAGAAGAGAGAAGAAGGGGGAAGGCAGACCCGAGCAAACCAGAGGGGGAGGAGCAGAACGAAGGCAGCTAGCCTTCACCTGATGAAGCAACAACAGAACCAGAGCCACCTAATGGCTCGGAACAGAGTAAGGAATACCGGCGGCCATGTAGGTCCGTTATCGTCTGCTTGGCCGACTCTGCAACAGGCTCTGCAACAACAACCCAGTTCAGGTATGAGAGCTGTTTTTCTTGGAAATACTGGGTCCAAGCGAGAATGTGCTCGAACAGGGGTGTTCTTGCCTCGTCCAATCGGTAGCCCAACTGAGACCAGGAAGAAATCAGGTATGTGTTTTGTGTTGATTTTTTGATGTGGGTTGTAATTTTTATGGTCTCTATTTTACCCAGATCTGTTCCTTGGTTTTTGTTTGATTTTGGTGCTTGATTTGTTTGTTTATCACATTTTTACTGAGTTATAAACAATTTTTATTTGTAATTTCAAGGTTGTTCGACGGTATTACTTCCAGACAGAGTGGTTCAGGCTCTGAACTTGAACTTAGACGCCATGGATTCTTCACCCCAGCTTCAGTCTTTTTCTTTCTTTTTTTTTTTAAATTGAAATTTCCCCCAAAATAATGTCGTTTTGGAGGTGCAACAGGGATGCATGCAGGATTGTGCGATCGAAGATCCAGACTCAAAAAAAAATTGAAAACAAAGGAAAAAGAATAGAAGGAAAGAACAAGGAAAAGAAAGGAAATAGTGATGGTGAAGTGTGAGCACATGGGCTTGTTTGGGGGAGAAGACATTTTTTTTAAATTGAAATTTCCCCCAAAATAATGTCGTTTTGGGGGTGTAACAGGGATGTATGCAGGATTGTGCGATCGAAGATCCAGACTCAAAAAAAAATTGAAAACAAAGGAAAAAGAATAGAAGGAAAGAACAAGGAAAAGAAAGGAAATGTGAGTGATGGTGAAGTGTGAGCACATGGGTTTGTTTGGGGGAGAAGACAAAATAAATAAATAAAGGAAAAATAATTGAAAACTAGAGAGTGGTCAAGGAGGCTGGCAGCCATGTCCGGTCGGCCACGTTTACTAGCAAGAAATATATATATATATATATATATTATTTTTGCTTTCCTTTATACCGAAAGAAGGATGGGAAATAATAATTAAAAAAATGAATATAAAAGAGATAAAATTTTAAAAAATTTATTAGAAAATCTTTTTTTCAAGTGTTTATATTTTAATTAATTCATAAGATATTTTTGTATTTTAATAAGTTTTATTATTTGAACATTTGATCTACTAAATCCTAATTTTCATATTTAAAAAATTTTATGGACATTTTTACCCTTATAAATATTTTTTAAACAGTTAGTAATTTGGTGATGTAAATATTTATATTTTACAATGTGAATATTCATATTGCCGTATGAATGTTCACATTAACAGTGTAAAAATTCACATTGACATATTAACATTCACATTGTAGATGTGAATATTATTAGGGGTATTTTAGTAATTATGTCATTTATAGGACTTATTAGAATATAAGAAAATAATGTGAATTAAATGGAACATAAGTAGGTGAAAAGGGATTTATGAAAAAATGCCCCTAAAATTTTTCATCTAAAAATTTCACCACCAATTTATTATAATAAATCATAAATACTTCTCATTAAAATATTTAACATCTAAAAAATACGATATTTCACACCAATAAAATGGGACAAATAAAATGGGAGGAAGAAAGTACCGTTAGAAGAGTCAAAATTAAATAAAAAAAATATCTATCATATATACAAGCACACATATAGAATAAGATATGTAGGTGTTATATATATATATATATATCAATAAATAAATATTAGGTTTAATCATTAAAAAAGATTTCAACATTTCACTCGCTTTTTATTTCTCCGTATTTTCACTTTAAGTTTCAAAACAATTCTACGTTACCTTACACAGACGAAGATGGACAGAAAATACACATTAAAATACGGATAGAACTCTAGAATTTAATTTGTCAAAATTGAAATACTAAAAGTTAAAATGAAAAACGTGTAAAATCTAAGGTTATTTTCGTAATTAACTGTTTTTTCTTATGCTTTTTGATGTTCACAAACATAACAGCAATATTTCGATAAAAAAAAGAAAAAGAAAAAAGAAACATAACATCAATATGGAGTGTCAAAATAAGGTGCAACTGATTTATAATGGTGAGTCTCACACGTGAAGAAGAAAGTAGTGACAAAGTAATTAGTAATAAACAAAAAAAATAAAAAATAAAAAAAGCATTAAGCTAGTCTCTCTCTTAAAAATCATAGCAATGGTGTCTATTTTATTTGTGGGACTGGCTTCCCACTAGTCCCAGATCGGACTAGAGGGTAATGTTGGACCCGTGAGGACCCACTACAAGTTTCATTTCGATAATCCGAACCGTTCAATTTGTAGAACTCGTCGAAGTATTATATGTTTATAAAAAATCATGTTGATCGGATATCGATAGCTATTTCATCGGATCAAATTTTTGTCAACCGTTTATTTTTTCACCGTCCATTTTATTTTATACAAAACTGATTTGATCACGTAGTTATCAATATCTAATCAACGTGATTTTTTACAAAAAAAAAGTACTCGATGAGTTCTACACATTGAACGATTCGGATTATTGAAATGAGACCCTTGGTGGCCCCCTAAGGCCAAATAGTATCCTCCAGTCCGATCTGAGACTGGAGGGAAGACAGACACTTTATTTGTGGCCCATAACCTTTCTGTGTAGTTTCTCAGTCATTTTCTTTATATTTCACTAGCAAATTCTCAAGTTTGAAAAATAAATAAATTATATTTTCACATAATTAACTTTAATATAAGGAGAGTAATGACAAAGCAATTACCAATAAATAAATAAAAAAAGTAATGAAAAAAAAGCATTAAGCAAGTCTCTCCCCCATAATCATAGCAATGGTATCTATTTTATATGTGGCTCATAACCTTTCTTTGCAATTTCTCAATCATCTCTCTACATTTCATAGGCAAATTCTCAAGTTCGGAAAAAAATCTATATTTTCAGATAATAAACTTTAATAGAGGGAGAGTAGATATAATAATAGTTAAGATTTTTGTTAAGTTGATGTTAAAAAAAAAAAAAAAATTTCTGATTATATTTTTGTTTTCAATTTTGTTCATAAAGAATATTCAATTACTACTAATTATTCACTTTTTTGTGTTGGCATAAATTAAAATTTTAAATTTTACAGTACCTGTTTTCGATGAAAAGTTATTTGTATTTTTATCCCCTAAAGTTTGAATTCTGGATCTGTTTCTGATTAAAGACCCTGTTAAATAATTAGACCTTTTTAGCATTTTTGTTTGGTAAAAAAAAAAAAGAAAAGATAATTGGAACTTTATATGAAAATTTTGTTTGATAAACTGTTTTTGATAATTACTTTTGGGAACAATCCTTTTTTATAGTGAAATTAAAAGATTCTTTCAATAAAAAATATGTAAACATTCCACACTTTCTTATTTTGAAAATACAAAATCATTTGATAAAAAATTTGACAATTTTGACAGTTTTTTCCACAAAGATTAATACGAAACTCATCTACAAAAATTACATAGAGAAAGAGGGAGGGAGAAACATTTTATTCACAAAAATGAGTGATTGGCATGATGCTTGTGTGTGATATGAGAAAAGCCTCATGAACACCAAACAAACACCATCACTCATTACATATTACAATAAGAAAATAAACAAGTGCAAATTTTAACCACTAATTTTTATAGTTTCGTTTTAGTGTTATTTTGATCTTTGTCATTTTAATCGATTCAATTTCAATCTTAAATTTTTTATTTTTTTCAATTTAACCTAATTGATTGCAATCTTTAAGTTCTTTTTTAAAAAAAAAAAATTATGAAAAGTGTACACATAAATAGCATGAGTTACGCTTTTAAGAACAAAATTGTAAATTTTCTTAACTAAGTGAGTCAATCTCAATCATCTGATTAACGATTTTACTTCAAAAACACTAATTGACATTATTAATTGAATCAAATTAATACAAAATTTAAAATTAAAATCAATATTAAATCAATTAAAAATGTGAGAATCAAAATGATATACAAAAACTCCCAATTTAATTTACCCAATAAACATTACCACTTTTCCTATCTTGATTCCAGGGAAGATCCAACAAGGCCACCGGTTGGCAAGCTATCAACTTGCAACCTAACACAAGAAAATAAAACAAACAACAAAGTCAAATCAAGGCTAAAAAAAAAACCAAAAACAAAAATTATGATGAAAAAGAATATTTTTTTTTATGATTGTCAGGCAAATCTTTACAAAAATAATAAAAAATAAAAAATTTAGTCCTCGATTTGTATTGAAGAGTGATGTTCGGACTCATGAAATTCTCTATAAGTTTTATTCTGATAATCTAAGCTGTTTGATATAGTGAATATATTATTCCGGTGATCTTTATAATTAATTTTAAATTTCACTTTAATTTCTTTTTTATTTTACTCATAGTATTTTTTTCATTTTAAATTCAATAATAATAAAGAAAAAATCACATTTCAACAACAAAAAAAAAAAATGTATGAACCAAAACCCAAAACTATATTGTCGGGTAAAGATTGGAAAACTGCTAAGCCGCTCTCTGCCAACTGAGAAAAACCATGATAGATAGAGATATAAATTCATTTGAAAATATTTTAAAAAATAATTGGATTCTACCAACTTGGGTTCTTTTATTTTTTTAATGTACACGTCGTTTTCGCAAAGGGACCTGGAGCCAATGAAAGAAGACGCCATTTTTTACTTATCTCAGCACTCAAAAAATTTGTTCATTTTTGAGACTGCTAAAGCTTTTTTTTCACTCAAGAAAGGTCAACAACCTCCCTCTTAGCTTTGTTTTGCTTTTGCATCGCTTTGCTTTGCTTTTGCTTCTGATCTGTTGGTTTTTTTCCTTCTGTAATCGGAAACAATGCCTGTAGCAGAGATCTTCCTCTCTGCCTTCGTCAAATTGCTGTTTGAGAAGATGTCCTCTTTTGCCTCCTCTAAATTACCCTCCTTTGAAGGTATTGATACCCAGCTCACCAATTGGACCAATATGCTGTCTCAAATTGAAGCTCTTCTGTTTGACGCGGAGGAGAAGCAAATGAAAGATCGAGCCGTGAACCTGTGGCTCGACGATCTCCAGGATCTGGCATATGATTTGGATGATTTAGTGGATGAGTTCGCCACCGAAGCTTTGCAACACAAGCTCAAGGCAAAGCCGCCCCAAGCTAGTTCGAGCAAGGTATGGAACCTCATCCCTCATTTCAAGCCAAGAGATGTTATGTTTAATTTCAAAATGAAGTCCAAGATTGAGGAGATCAATACCAGATTGCACAATAGTTTTCAACAATGTTCGAAACTTAATTTGGTTAAGATTGTTGGTGGGTATGGGTGGGATTGGCAAGACCACCCTGGCTCAGATGGTATACAATGATGAAACCGTGAAGAAGCATTTCGATTTGAAAGCCTGGGTCTGTGTGTCAGATGAGTTCAACATTATGAGAATAACAAAATTAATTCTCGAGTCAGTGACTTCCAAGACATGTAATTTTAATGGCTTGGATCACGTTCAAGTTCAACTGCAGAAGGCTTTGGCTGGAAGGAAGTTTTTAATTGTTTTAGACGATGTCTGGAACAAAAAATACAGTGACTGGAATGTTTTGAAAAAACCTTTCAGTGATGGAGCCCAAGGGAGTAAAGTTATGGTGACTACACGTAACAGAGATGTTGCAAGAACGATGGGAGCTGTTGAACTTCATGACATTGAGGTCCTATCAGATGAAGATTGTTGGTTGTTGTTTGCGCAACATGCCTTCGAGCATAGAAGTATTGATGCAAATCCAAATTTGGTATCAATAGGTAAGGAAATTGTGGAGAAATGCAAAGGTTTGCCTCTGGTTGCTAAGACACTCGGTGGCCTTTTACGTTGCAAAGAACGAGATGAGGAATGGGTAGATGTATTGTGTAATAAAATATGGGATTTATCACACGAAGAAAGTGACATCCTTCCAGCTTTGAGATTAAGTTACCATCATCTCCCTTCGCATTTGAAGCAGTGTTTTGCATATTGCTCAATAATACCCAAGGACTATGAATTTAAGGAAGAGGAGATAGTCTTGTTATGGATGGCAGAGGGTTTCATTCCGCCAAAAAGAGAGAAACAAATGGAATATATAGGAGGTGAGTACTTTCGGGAATTGTTGTCAAGGTCTTTTTTCCAGCCATCAAGTACCCGTAAAAGCTCTAAATTTGTGATGCACGACCTCATCAATGATTTGGCTCAAGTAGTTGCAAGAGATACTTGTTTTAGATTGGAGGATAGATTGAAATATCAAGAGCAGTGCAAAAATATAAAGAAAGCTCGACATTCATCTTACATGCAGGAGTACCATGAGGGTATGAAAAAATTTGAGATCTTTGACAAAGCCCCGCATTTACGGACCTTCTTACCATTTTCCTTAAGATCTGGTTCATATTTTCGTTTGGCAACCAATGTTCCCCGTAATCTATTGCTGAAGCTAAGACGCTTAAGGGTGCTCAATATGAGTAGATATTGCATCACAGAAGTTCCAAATTCTGTTGGAGATTTGAAACATCTGCGGTATCTCAACCTTTCCCACAGCCAAATAAAAGAATTACCTGAATCACTAGGCTCTCTTTACAATCTACAAACATTGATGTTAAGAGCATGTAGAAAACTGAAAAAGTTGCCAACAGACTTGGGAAACCTAATTGACCTACGCCATCTCGACACTACAGATGCACATTCCTTAGAAGAAATGCCACTAGGAATAGGTAAGTTGGCTAGTCTTCAAACACTGTCCAATTTCATTGTTACTAAAAAAAATGGGCTTCGGATAAAAGAGTTGGGGAACTTAATTTATCTACGAGGGAAGCTTTGCCTATCTGGATTACAGCATGTGGTGAATCCTCTAGATGCAAGGGAGGCAAATTTAAATGATAAGCAAGGCTTAGATGTGTTATCGATGGAATGGAGTGTGAACTCAGATGATTCACGAGATGGAAGAGCAGAAACAGAAGTTCTTGACATGCTACGACCTCAGAAGAATTTAAAAGAGCTCCATATCAAAGGCTACCTTGGTATAGGATTTCCGACTTGGATAGGAGATCCTCTGTTCTCCAATATGGCTGACCTAAGTTTAGATAATTGTGGAAATTGTGCATCCTTGCCACCACTCGGACAACTACCCTCCCTAAAAAAGCTTTACATTAAAGGAATGAGAGTATTGAAGTATGTCGGTTGTGAGTTCTACGGGCAAGGCGGTGTTCAACCTTTTCCGTTACTGAAGACTCTAAGCTTTGAGAATATGCCAGAATGGGAGGATTGGTATGCTTTTGGAGATCACAAGGAAGTTCAACCATTCACTCGTGTCAAGTATCTCTCCATAATAGAATGTCCCAAACTTGTTAAAATGTTGCCTACTGATCTACCTTGTTTGAATAATCTAGAGATTAGGGACTGCCCCAATCTCTGTGGGGTGATGCCCAAGGATCTACCTTGTTTGAATAATCTAGAGATTAGGGACTGCCCCAAACTCTGCAGAATGATGCCCAAGGATCTACCTTGTTTGAATAAGCTAAGAATTTCAGGGTGCCCGCAATTCCTAGTTGAAGGTTCCAGCAATAGCCTCCCGTCACTCACCTCGATAGCTATGAATGACGTTCCTCTAACAAGCCTTGAAGCAGTCCTTGAGATGAGGAGTATGGTTGATGATGAAGTGATATCGGCAAATACAAAGTCTAAGCATCCGAGTTCAATAACCGCCTTGAGCATTGGGATGATTAAGAAACTCGAGCTCTTGCCAAAATGGGTTACTCATGGGCTGATGGAAGTCGAGGAATTGAACATTCAAAGTTGTGAAGAACTCAAGACACTGTGGAAGAATGAGGCGAGAGTGCAACACAGCTTCCCTGCATTCCGACGTTTGGAAATTGAAGACTGCCCCCAGCTAGTTTCATTGTTTGAAGAAGATGAGGATGAAGAAAATGAAGGGCAACATCAGCAACAACAAGAAGAGGGACTCCCTAGCATAGTGAGGCTTGAGGGTCTAAGAATAGATAATTGTGAAAAGCTGGAGAAACTGCCACGGCTGCTACATACCTTCACTTTTCTTCGAGAGTTGTGTGTCTGTAACTGTCCAAGTCTCGGCTCTTTTCCAGCGACAGGTTTTCCGTGCAAGCTGAAAAGACTCGAGATACTTGATTGTGAGGCTCTGCAAACTTTTCCAGAGACAGGTTTTCCGTGCACGCTGAAAAGACTCGAGATACGTGATTGTGAGGCTCTGCAATCCTTATTTGGGTGGATAAGGCAGATTAATGACAATAATCTTGAAGTGTTAGTGGTTGCGGATTGTCCATCTCTTACGTGGTTGATATCGTGCAGAGGTGGGGGGCTACCACACACACTCAAACAGCTTGATATTAAGAATTGTAAAAAGTTGGAGGCACTGCTAGTAGAGGAGGGGATGGAAATTAACTGTCCATCTCTTGAGTCTGTTTGGATCAGTGGTTGTGATAGGCTGAAATACTTGCCAGATGCCCTTCGTAATCTCAGGAATCTCAGTCGATTGTGGTTGTATGGGTGTAAGAATTTGGAGTACATTCCGGAAGGATGGTTCCACTCCGCAACAAATCTGAGACGATTGGATATCACGGGATGCAAAAAACTGAAGGCCCTACCACACGGATTGCAGAGCATCAACTACCTCACTTCTCTTGAACAGCTGGGTATGAATATTTCACAATGGAACAACAACTTCAAGAAGATTGGTTTGCACAGTTTACCCTCTCTTAAAACACTGTCGATTTCAGGGGAAGAAGAAGAACATCCTGTGGGTTCCAGCTTTCCGATAGATGGGATGTTGCTGCCCACCTCTCTGATCTATCTTCGCATCTCAGATTTCCGAAATCTGGAGAAGCTATCTTCTAAGTTGTTTCAAAACCTCGCCTCTCTTGAAGATCTTTGGATCAGGGATTGCCCTAGGCTCAAATCTTTACCAGTGCAAAGGCTGCCTCCCTCACTTAATGAATTGTCGATTGAGAGTTGTCCGAGACTAACAGGGAAGTGTGAAAAGGGGAAAGGCAAATATTGGCCCCGCTTAGCTAACATTCCTGACGTCGATGTCAGTTGAGTGATCAGCTCTGTGGAGATTCCACCGCAATACAAGCAGTCAAATTGCCAGGTATCAAAACAGAAGCTAATTTGATAAATATAAACATTTAAAAATTATTTTCAGATTTTAAAAACAAAATATATTTTCAAAAAGTGAAAAATCATAATGAAAAAAATATGTTAAATTTAAATTTGGAGGTCCATTATGGGATGAGTAAATAATTTTTAAAATTTTGGTTGGTTTTGGAGGTTTTAAAAATAGTTTTAAATTTTTAATTCGTATTTTTTTAATATATTGACTAATTTGTTTTATTTTTTAAACACATCTAATCTGCATATATTTTAAAAAAATTTAAAATTTTAAAAAATATTTAAAAATTTTAATAAATACAAAATACATACAAAAACGTATTAAATTTGTATATTTTGTTAATATGTAGTGATTTTTTAAACGATTTTTTTCATAAATTTTATATGGTTTAGGTTTATTTAGATTGAGTGTATCTAAAACTTAAAAAATATTGATTAAAATACTTAAAAAGTTCACTAAAAATAATAAAATATAGATTGAAACTTAAAAACTATTTTTGAAAGCTCCAAAACAAAACATAGTTTTAAAAATTATTTCCAATTCGAAAACTAAATGACTTTTGGATTTTCAAATTTCTAAAAACTATTTTTAGAATATACAGCCAAACAAATTTTTAGAAAATTATCTTTCAAAATTGATTATGAAAACCAAACCTTAGTTTGGGTTTTCTAGGCTGGTCATTAAAAAGGGCGTCTCTGGTGTACGAAGCTCCCGTTTAAGCGGGGTCTGAGAAAAGGTTGATGTACGCAGCCTTACTCCTACAAGTAGAGGGGCTATTAATAAATTATTTTTGTATTTGTTAAGTTGTTGCCTATCTAGTGACCGGGAAAAGTCAGATTGAAAGTGATTAAGTTGGTACAAATTCTTGTTGGAGGGAGAATTTTTTGGCCGGTCAAATGAGGGTAATGTTAAAAATAAAAAAAATAAAAAATGAAAGAGAATCAAATGCTGTGAAATTATGTAAGTAGTTTGCAAATGCTTAGAAAAATTAAACAATTCTTTTGTTATTGTAAGAGCTAACTTAAAAAGTTACAAACAAATATACGCATATCAGGTGTCCAAATTTCATTTTGGTGAGTTATTCTAATAAATATGGAAACTGAAAACAATTTTAATTGTATACTTGGAGTTACATTTTTTGCATGAAAAGAATTTATTAGAGTATTAAGTTTTATCAATCTATAAGGGATTATTTGATACAGAAATGTGCATTCAAGGATCTGAATACAAAGAAAAGCTTCTTCCGATAGATTTCCTCATCTGCTTTTATTTCCTAAGGAAACCACAACAAATGGAAGAGTTCTCATTTCTTTCCAACTTCGTGCATTTGTTCTTGGATATCCCGTCCATCCAGTGATTGTTCGCTATCCCCTTATACACTTTGACCAATCCTGGTAAGAATTTTCTTTAGTTGAAACCGTTTTGGTGTTGTCTTTTGTAATATCTTTACCTAATTTGCATCATATGGCCTTTCATTTTAGGGGAAATATATAACTTGCATCATATGGTCTTTCATTTTGTTTAGGGGAAATATAGCTTTGGGAAAGCTCATGTTTAGAATGTTCAGAGTTTCACAATTTCATGGAGGTATGTTGAGTGATTTTTTATTTATCTATAGTTACATATATTGAAAATGTAGTGAGTTTGGCTTCCCTAACTATTTTTGTTTGTAAAATTTTTGGGTAGTATGGTGTATAAGGTGGCAATTTATATATATAGGTTGTTATAGTGATGCCTCATTTTGCTATTTTTATTTTAATTACTAACTCACTCTCGTGGATCATCAATACTGATTATTCATCAGCTTAAATGTACATGCATTTATATGATGTGTCCCTGACTATATTATAATTTGAATTTTGGTTACTGAATAACTTGTGTGTTGTAAAAAGTTAAATGAAGTCATTTATTGAATTGTGTAGGTAGAGTATCTTCCTATTTTTTTACCCCTTGAAAATCTGTGGGAAAATGCTGCCCATTTTGCTCAGAGGGTGAGTCGACATTATTTGATTAATCTTTGTTTCCTTGTTGGCTATAGTTGATATTTTAATATTAAGTATATTCTTATACATCAAAGTTTTTAATGGGCACATTACATACAATTTGTTAATTTTTTGTATATTGTTAACATGTTCTATATTTCATATGCTTAATCTCCTAAGCAATTCAGAACCAGTGGATGTTTAACACACCCTAAATATTGTAATTGAATTTGTGTGATGTTATGTCTACTGCATTTGTGTGCGGAAGCCTGTCCTTTTTTTTCGCATCTCTGCACAAAGAATTAGACAATTGATGAATGGCCTTTGGATTTAAAGTAATATTATATATATACAAAGATCAAAATTTCGTTTCGGTGTGTTGTCTCAAAAAGTACATAAACAAAAACATCTCGGAAATATTTTATGAAATGAAGATCAAATCGAAATGTTTGAAAATATAAATTGAAATATATCTAAATGTATAAAAGCCTAATAATTGATTAATTAAACAAATTGAGATTGATATAGTCATTCACGTAAAAGAATTAAAAAATTAATGTTACTATGAACTAAAAATTATTAAGTATTGTCAAATAACTCAATTTTATTAAACAAAAATTTCCAATAAGGTCTAAAAATTTACTGAAACAGTAGTAATAAATGTTTATGAAAATTTCTAAATTTGTATAGATACAGTTTACTCTTTTGGTATATCACACTATGTTTTGGTATGTTTCACTATGTTTTGGCGTGTTTCAATGAAAACACTAGAATTTTGTTACTCCACTAGTGTTTCGTTTCAGTCTCTTGGAAAATGGAAACACTTCATTTCAATGGAAACAAATGACAATTTTGTTCCTCAGATATATTAAAGATAAATCCATATCAAAAAGTTTTTCATTCATGTGTTGTATACGTTTTTCATGTTATTTGGTTCCAAACAAATGTCATATGGTACCTATTAAAATTGGGTGTAACTACACATGCAACAGCCCTCGTATCTTCTATGTACACTATGTTAACTTACTACAATTGAAGGAATAGTTTCCTATTGTCCATCTTTAATTTGGAAAAAATTTCCCTTTTGTATTCTTTTACTAGCTGTTAGTGTATTGCCTTGATTCTTAGGGTCAAGTGACCCCACTGGAAATTTGAAAATCTGAAATTATTATTCAGACTTTTTGAAAATTTTATTTTAAATGAGGTCAATCTTGTACACTAAAAGTATGAACTATTTTCATAAAGCATAGAGATTTATATATACTCATGTTACCCTTTTTTTCCTTCTAATATTTTAGTTATTCTTTTTCATTTTCTTCTTTCTTTGAATTCTTTTGTAGGTGTTCACGTGTTATTTACCTTATATATCACTATTTTCCTAATATCCAAGGAGATGATTACGACATTCTGTGACAGTTTAGGAGAGGATTTATGCTTATATTTAAAAAAGGTGGAAAAAAAAAAGAGAGAAAAGAACTTGTGGCATTAAAAAGGAATTGCCAACAAACACGGTGTAGTTTTCTTCAACTAAATTAATTAAACAAATCTTATGTTCAAAGGATATATTTGAATTAAATTTGTTCAAAAATTTAATGCAGGAAAATATTATCCATTTGTGATTTACAAAATCAATTGTTTAACTTTATTAGCATTTATGGAATTTTAGTATTAGTGATGTAAGCGGTCATTTATTCGATTTTTGTAAAAATTAACTATTCTGGTTTTTGCTTTCATTATGGTATTTGTAATTTGGTAACTATAAATTACTTGATCCAGTTTTGTATATTACGCAAGTTTATTAGCATAAATTATGTGTAATTGAAGGTTGATATTAGTAGTGAATTGTTTAATGGACGTTTCTGGCTCCGCAATGGTTGATTCTTAGAACTTATTCTTTGTAATATGGAGAAGAATCGTATTTTTGTGAACTTGATGATTATCTAACAGCACACTGCATTTTGGATTTGTCTTGATTTGCCATTTGAGCTGCCTTGAGTATATATATCATTCTCTCTAAGTTATTTGTGGATATTGAGTTTTTAATCTATCAATTCATCCCTGATGGATATATGCAGACTAGCCATGCTATAGCTACCTCTCTTAATGTTACAAATGAAGAAGTTATTGAAACTGAATGATTTTCATTAGATTGAAAACTCAGATATACAGTACCTTGTATACACTCCACATGTTTACAAAATATTTAACTAAAACATCTACCTAACTCACTCTGTTACAACAAGTTGAATTAACACTAGACTTGTTTGGTTTGCAGGACAACATATCTCTAGTCTAGTCTTAGATTGAATCCTGGATTGCTGAGTCTTGATTGGTTACACTAACTGTACAAACATCTCATTCCTATGGGGACATCATGCAGCTTGCAAAAGCTTCCGAGTCCAAACAAGTCACTTTTCGTGCTCCATGTGTTTTGGCTTTATAGTTTATCTTGCTTTTAGGTCGCAAAAATGATCTTGTACTTCATTCAAACATTCTATGAAGTGCTAGATTTTAGCTCTTAAACTTAATTTGATGGCCTTTTTCGTGATGGGCCAAGAATATTTGATGCAGCTGCAATGATGGAATTTATATTGTCTCCTTGGGATCTCGTAATGTATTAGGTGTAGGCCTTGAAGCACACCATTTGATGCTTATAATTCCTCTCTTCCAAAATAAATAAGTTGAATCAATGTTTTTATTAATGACTATTGATTAATCTATATATTACTGAATGGAGGAAGGATCATAGATTAATTTGAAAAAATAAAGGTGAAAAACACACCAGAGAAGTTTTGGAAAAACTGATGTGCCAGTAAAAGGTTTTTTATTCCTTTACTTCTAGCAAGGAGATTTTTCCATCTCAAATGGAATCTTGAAATAGATCTTTAAAATGTAAATACAATATTACTTCCATCTATATTAATTGGTTTCTTTTCTATGGTTTCAGTAAACTTTGAATTGTTAATCAATGGAACATGAAAAAATAAAATACCTTGGAAATGAAATTTAAGGTCGTAATTTTGTGGGAAGGAGAGTATAGATGTTTGGTGCATTATGTCTGTGTCATAGCACTTGACATGTACACCTTGAATATTTAGTAAAGGTGTAGATAAGCCAAATCAAGCAATATATCTTGCAGTCCAAATTCTTAAGCATACTTCTAGCTGCTTAACCTTGGCTGGTAAGGAGTAAATTGTTTTCAAACTTGGCAAGAGCTAAGCCAATCTTGCTCAATTGATAAGTGTATCATCATTGCATAATGGGCAATCCATTATGGAAAACTCGAATATCGGTGTAAGGTGCAGGTATGTGTCTAGGTGTTGGATTTATCTAATTCTCATGTCCAAGGACACCACAACATGACTAGATTTGATATTTGTTCAACATTTTTTTTATTCAGTAATGATACGTAGCTCGAAATTTCCAAGTTCGAATTTGCCCCGAATCCAAAACGACGTCGTTTTAAACGGTAGTTTCGTTTTACGAGGGCGTTATTTAATGAAAATTATCTTACCGGTAAGAGAATTTTAATCCATCTTATCCGTAAGAGAATTCAAAACGGCATCATTTTCAGTTTCGAGCCAATTCGAGCCAACTATTTTCGAGCTTCCAGGTATTATTCTTTTTTATTTTATATTTTTTTAGCATAGAATGGTATTTGCTACAAAAAATTGAGCATTTTATGAATGAAATGGAAGTCTAATGCATAGTGATATAGTAAACTCAAACCATTTAGACATTCTTGTTTGGTGCATGTCCAACTAGACATGTCAGTTGCATTTCCCATACGGAACCCTTACCCTTACACACGTGGCATGTCTATGTATCGGACACATCCATGTGGCTTGTCAAATTATTAATTATTTTTTTTTGCAAAACATGATGGGAACACTTCACGAACACATGTCCTCTGTCTGAATAATTCTCTTAGAAAATTGATTTGGGTTCAAAGTAAATATAGGGAAATGGGGGAGAGAAGTGAAAAATAAATAAATAGTAAATACACCCACATATAACATCGATGCTTCTCATATCTTTGTGCCCTAACTTAATGTTCATATACATAGCAAATAAATATATATAAAAGAAATTCCGTACCCCCCGTGTTCGTATCTTAATTTTTTGAGAATTCCATGTCCCATGTCTGTACTCATATCCAGGTCTCTTAGGCTACCACTGTGAAACCTAAAAGGATACACGAAAGCACTTCACTTTCAAACTCAACTGAGATATCAAATCCATTCATACATTAGCACCTTCTTGATACACAAAGCCAACCAAATGGAAAACAACAAATATAATTTTTTAACAAATATAATTTTTTTTTTACTTTAAGCTCATATGATGGAAATCCATCTCTTAGGCTGTGTTTGGATCATAGATTTGGGTATCCAAATCTATGATCCAAACATAGTCTTAGTAGATGCATACTACACAGAAAGTTTTGGGTGCCTACAATTTTAGATTTTAAGTTTTAGGAGACCTAATCCTCCAAAATTGTCCTAAAATGAATTTTCCTTCACTACAAGAAAATGCACCTTCGGCTACTAAAAAATTAGATTTTTTAGTCGCCCAATTAGTCGCGCATGTTGGCAATAGTATTTGGTGACTAAATTTATGTTGGTCTCTAATTATCTTCTCTTACTAAATCTAACTTAATCCCTAATTGACACCTTTTGGCGACTAAAATTGTAGTCGCCAAAAGTTCTTAAATAAAATAAAGTTCTCTTTTAGTGACTAAAATATTTAGTGGCTAATATGTTTTAGTCGCCAATAGAACTACATTTAGCGACTAATATTTTGGTCACTGTTTTATGTCACATTTAGCCACCAAATAGTTTAGTTGCCATTGTTTTTTACGACTAAACATTTTAATCGCCAAAAAAATAAATATTTTCATCCCATTGTATTTTACGACAAAACATTTTAATCACCAAAGGATGTCATTTTTTCATGGCTAAAATATTTAGTCGGTAATAATTTCTTCCCTCATTTTGATTTGTTTTGGCTACTAACTATTTAGTCGGCAAAAGGCTTTTGTTTTAGTCACCAAATACCTTTGCTTGCTTTTTCAGCTACCAAATATTAGTCATCAAAAACTTTACTTTTTTTGGCTACTAAATGTTTAGTTGCCAAAAACTTTATATAGTGTTTTTTTTATTAATTTCGCAACCAACTGTATTTATTCCATCATTAATGCAATATGTACCCTGTATATAAACAAAACAATACATACACCGATTATATTATCATTCCACAATGTGCGCACACATTTCACTTTCAACCATCCAAAAAATTCATATTTAATGTCAAATTCCAAATATAATAGATTTCCATACAAACCAATCATAATCCAACCTCAAAAATAAAATTCCATATGAAATAGAGGATTATACAAAAACCATATCTTCTGCACACAAAAAAGTAATATCTACAATATCATGCCAAAAGGTAATATGTACCATGCCAAGTTGAAAGTAATATGTACCACGTGAATAAAGTAAATTGTACCACGCAAAAAAAGTAATCTGTACCGCACAAATAGTTATCTGTACAAACAATAGTAATCCGTAGACAAAAACCAATGTCTTCCGTAGACAAAAAAAAGCCGTATCCAAAATTCCACGACAAAAACCATCTGTAAAAATAAAATTACTCATTAGTATTGATTTTTTATTGCCATATTTAAAATTATAAAAGAAAATCATATAAAACTCGAATGTATATATAAAAAAAATTATATAAAACTCAGAGGCATATGTAAGGCAACCAGTTATCTTTTCAAAGTAATCATTGTAGGTAATTAATCGTTAGTTTTGCATTTTCCCCCTCTGAAAACCTTTTTTGAACTAAATTTAAGATGTTTTCAACTCTAACTCCCAACCAATGTGTCATATTTACGTACTGTCTGTCCCCACAAGTTGTATTTGTCACGAGGAAGCTGCACGTGACATCCATTGACTGGTTTGGGGGCTGTTTTGCATGTTTGCCCTCCGAACGCCCTTTTTTGACTAAATTTAAGGCGATTTCGACTCTAACTCCCAACCTATGTATCCTATTTACAGGCATAACTCTATTGTAGACTTTAATTCCTTTTTACTACTGCTTATCTATGTGTTCTAGATCAAATCAAGGATCATGCCTAGGGGATCAAGTGCCCAGAAACTATAGCTTTCTCTTCCCAAAAATAGTAATATTAATATATCTATAATACTTTGAATAATTTAATTTTATATTTCTTAAGTTATTTGCATTCACCAGATCACACTGTTCAGTTGAACTAAAACATCTGTTTCAGATTTGTAAATTAAACTGAAATAGTGCATATGCCATTGGAAAAAAGATGATAGCTCCGAAACACATGCATAAATGGTGGAAAAAATTGCGCACCCATTAGTATTTGCTTGAATAAGATTGGCATTTCAAATTATAAAATAAAAAATTATATAAAACTCAAATGTATATAATCTTTTCAAGATTTTATGAGTCCTAATTAATCATATGTTGCATGTCCGGAGAAGTTGAGAAAAGAAAGCAGAAAGAAGGGGGAAGTGGGTTGCACTTTATTGGTAGAGGCTTCCATGAGAGGGAAAACAATCTAGTTCTATCTACAAATGTAACCAGACAATAATTACAAATAAAAAATAGAGAGCTAGTACTGAAAATGCATGCCTACCTAAAAAGGAACCAGCCAATAGAGCCATTTGATTTTTGTATTTGGCTGTTTTGACACTAAACAGTAAATCCAAGCTTCTCTATATAAAGGCCTTTTAAGGATATAACCCGGGAGCAAAGGATTAGTATCATTCTCTAGTGAAAATATGGAATTTAAGCAAAGCTTGTACTTGGAGTACTTCTTCGGGGTTTTGCTACCTCTTGAACATGTTTGCTTTTTCTATGGCAAACAAGACCATCCTTAAACACGGGCAGAACTCTTTTTTTCAACTTTTCAAAACAATAATGTCAATATTTGAATTTTTCTAGAAATTCTAGTATCATATGAATAAAAATGTTCTTACCAAATAGTAGAATGAACCATCTCAAGGCTGCAAGAGGCTTGTGAGCCGTGAGACCATGTTGTTCAAATGATTGAGTTGTACTTGTGCCTCCCGAGCTTTTTTCCCATCTTCGGCTTGTTTCATCAACTCCTCTCTCTCCCTCATCATCTCTTCATGATCTCTCTTGCCCTCCTCTCTGACCCTCATCAGCTCTTCATGATCTCGTTGCCGCTCCTCATGAAGAGCCTCCATCTCAGCTCTCATTGCATCCATCTGTTGATCACGAGCTCGTGCCGCAGCATCAAATGTGGAAGAGGGTTGTGGCCCGATCCCAAATCCACGCAAGTAATTTTTTTTTCTGTCCAAGCACTTGCCTTTGACAGTTCCTCTTGAGTCTTGAGTATCAACTTTAAGGTATTTCCTTCCTATCAACTTTAAGGTGAATATACAAAACAGACCCCTTTTAACTATGACATGTATGCATATATGCACATTTAAAGAAGTAATTTATGTCTCACCAAACATGAATCCTATGGATTACAAACCCCGATGCATTTGTAACCACAATATACTTTAGTTCATTGATATTCTATATATCTATGATTCTCATGTTTGCCTAGTTAGAAACCACATATTCATATTAAATAATGCTGACTCACTTAAAATAGAATTAAATCAAGTCTTTATTATGTGGACCCACATACATGTTTGAATCCAATACCCAGGAATTAGTAAAATTAAACAAACAAACAAAAAGAAAGAAAGAGAGCTTAGCTGCATAAAATATCAACGATCAGACAGTAAAATTTGCAAGAAAAATACTTAGTTCATAGAGAGGAAAACCTGATTAACAGCTTCACCAAAAGCCACAAATGCAAACTCTCTACCCGGAGCAAGTAGAAGACCAACTCTTATTGCAGATATTATTGAAATACCAAAAAGTCTACCTGCTACAGCAACCAATATAGTCTTGCCACCAATTAAAAGAGGTAATGTCCCCATAATTACCGGAAAATTTGAAACAAAAAGTTTTGGATCAATTGACATTCCAACCTGAAACCCAAAGAACAATGGCTGTTAACCAGAGGTATCGGAGCAAACTATTCCTGTTCATCAATACTGTGATCATATCAATCTGTTAAAATTGATAGCGTTCTACTTGCATGGACGAGTAATTTTTTCATTGCTTCTGTAAGAAGACTGGATCTTCTAGAAAGAAAAAGTAATTTATTAGTTAAATTAGACAATAAATGAATCTTATAGAAAGAAGTAATTTGCTACCATCATGAAGAACAGACCCAATAAAAGGCCACGATATGGAGCAATATCTGATTCAACCTGTAAAGAAAATTACGTTTCCGCAAGAAGCAAACCAGCCAAAAACGCTCCTAACGTCATGGAAAGGCCAGTCTGTTCCATTTATAATAAAGAAATTGCATACACTTAACAGTAGAATGATGTAAAAGAGTAAAACTTAATAACACATCAGCATACCCTAGCTGTAAGGAGACTAGTCCCCAGAATAACAAGGAGCCTATTTGCAGAGAATATTTCAGCATTTTGATTTTCCGCAACTTGCTTATAAATCGGCCAAAGCGGCTGAAAATTAGCATAAGAATGACTAATATCATGAATTTCACAAACGCAAAAGAAATCTGAAAATCCTTGGCTTGTGCACAGTCAAAAGCTACGCCATGGTTATGCATAAACTCAAGTAGACAATAATTTTTATCTTTGATACAGCACACTGATGATGCATGATGATATGCTTTATTAAAATTTCTTGAAAGAAGGATACTTGTTGAGAAGTTAATGATATAAATTGCATCATCAGGCATAAAATGTAGTTTCATCACTTACGATATCATATTTATGTTCAGCAACACAGAGAACTCACCAAGCGCCCTCCAGCAATTATGGCAGTAATTGCAACAATGGCCTTCACAGCAGCTAATCCAAGAGGTTCCGCAATTGCTTGGAAACCAACCTAAAAATGAGGGGAAAATTACCCATAGTAACAACAGAAAAAGAAGAATAAGCAGCAATAGCACTGGCAGAAACAACTAAAATAGCAGTTGCAGCTATCCTACACAAGCTCAAAAGTGAAACAATCTTCAATAATTATTCATTTGACTTTCCCAGGTAGGAAACAAATATAGTTAAGCATCATATGCCTAACAGAGACTACAGAAGAAAGGGTGATGTGGTAGTTGGCTGTTCATCAATACATGTGGTATGATAACCTAAAATTTTAAGAATCAGTAAGAACATGAATTCAGTGAAATAAGAGGTGTGAGTATCAGCAGAACCACAACATCCAAATCCTGCAGGAAAAGGCAAAAAAAAAAAAAGAGCCAATAAAAACAATAGTTCAAAAGAGACAAACACAATCAAATCAGATAATATAACTGACAAAAAAAAACTATGAAGGTGCGATCACATATGATAATTAAGGAACAAATACAGACTAAACTTATTAACGCATTATCTTTATTTCTGCTAATTCAAGCATCTTAAATGCATGTCTTAGATTATGACACCTAAAGGCAGAAATGGTGCAAAAGCATTGGATCAGAACTTTGTTCTACATTACACAGGTGTATGTAGTTCCAAAATGTTCACCTTTAAGACACATAATTATGGCACAGTACAGTTGTACAGTATCAGAAGACACTGTAAATTCCACCAAAAGCAATTCATTCACTTCATGACATCCAAGGTCAACATAATTTCTGAGACCACACAGGTACCTGGAAAGCAAAACAGAAAATGTAGCTCGTCCATGGCGTGACATGCTCTCACCTCATTCCTGCAATACCTGCAGAAAAAATACAATAAAAATAAAATAAAATATTATAAAATTATTCAACTGCCTAATAAAAGCATATCAACCAACAAATTTTGAGTCCTGACTACTTGATCCTAATGGAACAAAGTGACATAAGAACTAAAAATGGGATAGCATGAGAACTTACAAAGCTGCTCATTAACTGTTACCTGAAGGACAACAGCAGTGGAGAAGCAAACCAGCCAAAAACGCTCCTAATGTCATGGAAAGGCCAGTCTGTTCCATTTATAATAAAGAAATTGCATACACTTAACAGTAGAATGATGTAAAAGAGTAAAACTTAATAACAGATCAGCATACCGTAGCTGTAAGGAGACTAGTCCCCAGAATAACAAGGAGCGTATTTGCAGAGAATATTTCAGCATTTTGATTTTCCGCAACTTGCTTATAAATCGGCCAAAGCGGCTGAAAATTAGCATAAGAATGACTAATATCATGAATTTCACAAACGCAAAAGAAATCTGAAAATCCTTGGCTTGTGCACAGTCAAAAGCTACGCCATGGTTATGCATAAACTCAAGTAGACAATAATTTTTATCTTTGATACAACACACTGATGATGCATGATGATATGCTTTATTAAAATTTCTTGAAAGAAGGATACTTGTTGAGAAGTTAATGATATAAATTGCATCATCGGGCATAAAATGTGGTTTCATCACTTACGATATCATATTTATGTTCAGCAACACAGAGAACTCACCAAGCACCCTCCAGCAATTATGGCAGTAATTGCAACAATGGCCTTCACAGCAGCTAATCCAAGAGGTTCCGCAATTGCTTGGAAACCAACCTAAAAATGAGGGGGAAATTACCCATAGTAACAACAGAAAAAGAAGAAGAAGCAGCAATAGCACTGGCAGAAACAACTAAAATAGCAGTTGCAGCTATCCTACACAAGCTCAAAAGTGAAACAATCTTCAATAATTATTCATTTGACTTTCCCAGGTAGGAAACAAATATAGTTAAGCATCATATGCCTAACAGAGACTACAGAAGAAAGGGTGATGTGGTAGTTGGCTGTTCATCAATACATGTGGTATGATAACCTAAAATTTTAAGAATCAGTAAGAACTTTTACCCCCCCGCCCCCTTTAGATGAATTCGGTGAAATAAGAGGTGTGAGTATCAGCAGAACCACAACAGCCAAATCCTGGAGGAAAAGGCAAAAAAAACAAAAAACAAAAAGGAGCCAATAAAAACAGTTCAAAAGAGACAAACACAATCAAATCAGATAATATAACTGACAAAAAAAAACTATGAAGGTGCGATCACATATGATAATTAAGGAACAAATACAGACTAAACTTATTAACGCATTATCTTTATTTCTGCTAATTCAAGCATCTTAAATGCATGCCTTAGATTATGACACCTAAAAGCAGAAATGGTGCAACATTGGATCAGAACTGTGTTCTACATTACACAGGTGTATGTAGTTCCAAAATGTTCACCTTTATGACACATAATTATGGCACAGTACAGTTGTACAGTATCAGAAGACACTGTAAATTCCACCAAAAGCAATTCATTGACTTCATGACATCCAAGGTCAACATAATTTCTGAGACCACACAGGTACCTGGAAAGCAAAACAGAAAATGTAGCTCGTCCATGGCGTGACATGCTCTCACCTCATTCCTGCAATACCTGCAGAAAAAATACAATAAAAATAAAATAAAATATTATAAAATTATTCAACTGCCTAATAAAAGCATATCAACCAACAAATTTTGAGTCCTGACTACTTGATCCTAATGGAACAAAGTGACATAAGAACTAAAAATGGGATAGCATGAGAACTTACAAAGCTGCTCATTAACTGTTACTTGGAGGACAACAGCAGTGGAAAATAATGCCAGGCCATCCCCAATGATAATTGCAGCAGGACTGGGCTGACCAGCAATAAAGCGAGAAACTAAGCCAACCACCACTGCGGTCACCAAGACTTGCATTTGTTGTGCACGTTACAAAAAACAAAACTAAGATACAAATGCATCAATGCACATAAAACTGCTGGCTTGTGGTAAAACACAAGTGATAATATTTGAAAAACAAGTTTTCCAACCACCTGAGAAGAGCCCAAACCAAAAACATATTTCTTCATAGAACTCAGTCTTTCAACAGAAAGCTGCAAAATGAAGACAAAATGCTTAGCTTTTCTTTGTGTTATTAGCAGGTCAAATGTCATGGCAAATAGTTGTCTAGAGAAATTAACTTCAAGGTTTGATGGATTCTACCTCCAGGCCAATATTAAACATCAAGAAAACAACTTCAAATTCAGCTATTGCCTTTGTTTCATGTACATGATGAATAATAGAGAGACCATAAGGTCCAATCAATATGAGAGCAGTCAAATATCCAAGAACAGGACTGCCTAAACATTGCAACAGATAAAAAACATACATCATCAATGAAACAAATAAAACTCCAAACACATATTAGAAGAAGAAAATGGCCAAAAAATACATGCAGATGATGGCTGAGTCCAAGAACAGTATGATTGTTGTTATCAAACCCATTAAATTGTACTCCTAACAATTATAGTGTTCTACTTCTAGACGTTTACAAAAGCATAATCAATAACAAACAAGGATAATGAAACATGAGCTATGAAATGCCAAGTAGAAAAACCTGGATATAAAAGAGTTCAGATAGTGGCATTTGTATGCCATCCTTCTGCAGGAGCCATGCTAATCCTCTATGTACCATTCCAAATTTATCTGATACTATATAGGAACAATCATGAAGTGCATGTACCTTATACATCCAAACATGAAATCATGCCACATGCTGCAACCATCTTACACTAAAGAAGTCAAAGATGAGGCTTCAATTTAACTACTACAATAATAGATCATGAGATTCAGTTACCTCCAAGGATTTTTTGGAATATAGGTACATATATGACACTTGCAAGCAGCAACCACGACATGTCAAAAAGAGAAGCTTCCTCCTCATTTACCTAAAAAAAAAGAAAAAATAAAAGAAGAATACTAAATCATGTAAACTGAAACAAAACATATAATAAAATCCTAAACAAATAAGTAGTATGGAATACTAGGTTCTGAGGGCAAACAAAGTAAGCAAGGGATTTCAAGCACATGCCTCTTGATAAGGAATCATCTCCATTAGTTTCTTAACTCTCTTGGGCAATTTCCGTATTTGACGAATCAAAGGCTTTGTATTTGATGAGACTTCGTCGATACCAGCGGTAATGATGTCTGGTTGTAGAAATAGCTGGTTAATTCTCTCCACCCGATTGGTGTAAAAGGCAATCCTGTCATAAATCAAAAAATAAACTTTTGTATCAGATATAGAAATCTAATAAATGTTCACAAATCCTGTTACCAGAAATAATTGATGATAAAAATCTAAAATCAGTAACAACTGTCAACCAATATTCAAAGGGATACATGTAATAAATATTACTGTAAAAAGGATCATAGACAGAGAAATTCCATCTTTGAAAACATTGCATATACCCGGCTCCAATGAGCAATGAGCCAACGACCAGCTTAGGCAATTGCTTCCTTGCAGACTCAATAAGACCATGGAAAAGGGATTGCTGGTGTGAACTCAGTCCCATCTGAAAAGAAGTATGATGCAAAGAAGAAACGAGAAGATTTCTTCAGCAATGCTTTTGGAGCATTAAATGGTGATCCTTCCCTCGTCAAATCCTTCTGTAAATCTTGCTTTTTTGTTTGAACCATGTTCTTTGACTTTTCTGAATCTATTTCAGTATCTTTTGATGACTCTAAACTTATTTTTCCATTTTCTTGATCACTATCTGAAGATAAACTTTTTGGTTCTTCAAAATTCTGCCAAATCCATCAAATTGGGTACCTGGTAAAAGCACAATAACCAAAGAGGTAGCATCAATTTGCACATCTATTTCCCTTTCAATAACACCACCACCTGAATTTCCTTGAATCAACTTTCCCTCCTCAACCAATTCGTCCTCACTTTGTTGTACAATAGTTTCCGCACAATCAACATAAGAAACGGTGACATCTTTTTCGGCTCCTTGTAAGGCAATCTCGGCATCATTTACATGTTGTGCTGTAACAACCCCGACCTGTGATTAACTGTTAAACCATGATTAAGGATGCCTAATAAGTTATTAAGAAGAAATTCTGAATTAATTGCATGTGTGTCACATTATTTGTGTTTGTATCTGTCTGTCATAGAAATATCTGTTTGTGTTTCTGTCTTGTTCTGCGAATTGAAGGCCTTATTGGCATCTGATCATGAAATTGACTTGGGTTATGTGTTATTTGGAATTTTTAGAATTTTACAGTAGGTTTGATTGAAATTTAATTCGGAATGAAATAATTAGAATAAAATAAATATAAGTGATTAGCCTAATCAAGAATGAATTAAATCCACTAATTAAACATATATAAAGCCACTATAGCTTCTAGAACCCTTGAATACATTACAATTTATCATCTTTTTGAGTTCTAAACCGTGAGAGTGAGAGAGAGAGAAAGAGAGAGAGAGGAATTAGGATCAAATTTTGGAGAATTGGAAACAATAAGGGAGAATTGCTAGATAACTTGGAAAATCACTCAAGCTTGCTAGAGTTCAAGGAAATTGAGAGTTGTATGTAAGAATTCAACTTACATTTTGTAACTTCAAGCTCATTTACATGTGAATTCAAAGGAAATTTAAGATTAATGCCAGAATTAAGCTTAGAAGAGTGAATCAAGAACTATATCATGCCTGCATGCATATATCATAGCATTTTGAGTTAGTTTTCAAAGAATTTCTACATACATGTTCTCATCTTGGTTTTGTTCAAGGAATTCAACATGTTTTTGAACTAAACAACTCATTTGATTATGATTTGAAGGCTTTGAATTCAATTGGTTACATGCATGTTATCCTCGTGTTTTGTTCTTTAAGTTTCAAGTTTACTATTACACAATTGGCATACTTTTGAGCTTTGATTTTGTGAAACGATCTTTAATTCTCAATGCTTTACAAGTTTGAACATGTTTTCCCAAGTTTTGAGCCCAAAAGATGTGTTTTGCAGCTTTGAATTTGAGTTTTGGACTTAGAACATCAATCTGGAAATTCCAGAATTCTGCATCACCACTCGAGCGACCACCCTTAGCTTTTGCATCTCAGCTCGAGCGAGAAGAAGATGGCTCGGGCGTAAAATTCATGCGCCCAGAAGTTTTCCAAAATTTTGCATACCGCTTGAGCGACCAAAGTTGCGCTTGATCGAGAACCCTGTTTACTTAGTCTTACACTAGAGTGACCATCAAGCGTTCGTCGAGCAGAAAAATCACGCAACCAGTACTTTTGCAGACTTTACAAACCGCTCGAGCGGACTCCCTTGTTTTTGAAAATTTGACTAAGTGTTCTGAGTTACATTTTGGCATCCTCATTACATCTTAGGCATTCCTAAGCCCTAATTAAGACATAATAATGAGGATAAAGGCTAGAAACACACTAAGAATCAGAATGTCTTTATGGGTCATCAGAATGTCTTTATGGGTCATCAGAATGTCTTTATAGATCATCGGAAACGTCTGTTCCTTTATGGGTCATCGGAATGCCTTTATGGCCGTCCCTTTATGGGTCATCGGAATGCCTTTATGGCCGTTCCTTTATGGGTCATCGGAATGCCTTTATGGCCGTTCCTTTATGGGTCATCGGAATGCCTTTATGGCCGTTCCTTTATGGGTCATCGGAATGCCTTTATGGCCGTTCCTTTATGGGTCATCGGAATGCCTTTATGGCCGTTCCTTTATGGGTCATCGGAATGCCTTTATGGCCGTTCCTTTATGGGTCATCGGAATGCCTTTATGGCCGTCCCTTCATGGGTCATCGGATTTGTTAACGCTAATGGATATACCACGTATAATCATGTGAAATGTATGAACTTTGAACATGAATATGAATAGTATCTGCTTCTGAATAAGAATCTGAATTCTGAATCTGTTATAAGCATCATTCATTAAAATCTTTACTCTGTTATTATTCACTGGGCTCCAGCTCACTGTATTATTTATGTATGTAGGAGACCAGGCACGTGGCCAGGCTCAATGATGATCGCTTAGAATTCTGTTTTGTCGGCCAACCTTTGTGCCTCCCGAGGAGGTTCTGTTAAAAGTCAAGAGGTCAAGTTTTGTGAACATGATGCAAGTTTAATTATTTTCTTTTGTTTGTTTAAAGAACAACTCTTTTGTGGTATATGGTTGGCGATGTAAGCTGGATATGTATATGACGTCATATGTGGGTATATGTATATGAGTTTTAAATTTTTGTCCCATGTATGTCAGCACAGCTCAATGGTCTATGTATGTTTTATATTTGCTTCTGCAGCCCCTTATTATGTGATGATCTATTCAGAGGCCTTTGGTAATCCCAGGATTACTGGTCGGTTACGATGCTAAACCTATAGGGACGAGTTTGGATAGTGACGTGTGCCGCCTCAAGTTCAAAAGCAACAGCTTTCTCTGCTAAATGCATGACATTTGCCACATCTTCCTCCGCTTTTAAAGCATTCATTTCCGCTTGCTTTGCAACCTCATAGCTGGTCCACTTCCTTTTGCAATTCCTCTTTTCTGCTTTACAATTGTCTCAGCTCTGCCTCCAAATTTGTCAAAGTAGCTTGACAAACTCTAATATCATCCTGAGCTATGAAGCATGGATACGGACACGGGACATGACGCGAACACGTGGACACTCAAATTTTAAAAAAATAAGGGACACGACACACTGGGGACATGCTCAATATATATAATTTTTTGTTTATTTATTTATTTACTTTAATATTAAATATCATTTCCAATTTTTTTCTACAAATAAAAATAATTTATTCTATATGTTAATGTTTAGCAAACAAGAATATTAAAAAATATAGAAAAAAATTTATTACTAAAAACAAAAAAGGTAAAAAAAAGAAAAAGAAATAAAGAATAAAAGAGGGAGAGAGAGTCGAATAAAAAAGGAGAGAGCAAACAAGAGAGATGAACATAGAGAGAGAGAGAGAGAGAGAGATACGAAAGAAACGAAGAATAAAGCACCGAACAGAGGAAAAGGGATAGTCGAAGAAGATGAACAGGTTCGACGATGAACAGAGAGCACCGAATAGAGGGAGAGAGAGATGAACAGAGAGCCGAATAGAGAGAGAGAAAGAGAGAGAGAGTCAAACATACACAAATTGTAAGAACATACCTCGACCTAGCCTCGATCTAGGGCTTTAATAGGTTCTTCCCCTTTCTCTTTCTCTCTCTGTCTTCAATGGGTTAGGTTTTCTCTCTGTCTCCTGGGTTAGAGTTTCTCTCTGTTTTCAACGTGTCCATAACGTGTCCAAGAGTGTCCAAAAGAGTGTCTGGCTGCAAAAATTCAAAAAAAAGGGGGGACACATTAGGTAGAGTGTCGGCCACGTGTCCGACTCGTGTCCGTGTCCGTTTCCGACACGTATCCGACACCCATACGTTGCCTCCGAAGAGGTGTCCGTGCTTCATAAATCTCAAGCAACCAAGACTGCTTCCTCATCTTTCCTCAATATATTCGATTCTTCCCCTCCACTTTTATATTCTAAATCACTCTTTCTTCCTTTCGCAGCTTCTAGTGAATCCACTACCACTTGAAGCCTCGCTTCAGCCAAAGAAAGGGCCATTGTTGCTTTCTGAACAGCTTCTTGAGCAACAGTTTCTTCATTCATAATCTCTTGAATGGTATTGCGCGTAGAATTAACATTATCCCAAGCATTTGCTGCTTCGTCCTTCAATGCTATTGCAGCTTCCGATATTCTCTGAGCCTTCTCCTCAAACATGGTACTGTTTGTTGGAAAATATGGTTTTTTGGTTTGAGGATTGAATGAAAAATTGTTTCATTAAGTTGGTCTCATAAATGAGAGATTGAGAATGATGATTGTGCATTTAACATGTGGTATGGATGTGTGGATGAATGGCCTAATGCTGGAAACCATATGGTATACATGGTGTGGCCTAATGTTGGAAACCATGTGGCACGCATGGCCTAACCATGACGGACACATGGTTTTGGAAGCCATGAGGTACACATGGCCTTGCCATATGTCTTGCCAAAGATGCCTATATAAGGACATGCTCAACATTGTGAAAATGATCACAAAATAAGCTAAGTTCTCTCCTCCTCCCCATTGTGTATAAAAGGAGACCATCCTCTTTGGTTGAAGTACAAAAATTTTTGCTCCCATATTATAGTCAGTCTACTCCTATAATATATTCTTCCTGTGTGAGAGAGTGCTACCATTGTTAGTTCGCCGGAGCTGAGCAGAAGGTGCTTCTGCATTAGCGGGTTCTAAACCGTCGTATCCTGGGAGACAGACGCCGACATACCTCCAGCACCCACGGTGAGGCGGCAAATCTGCTTTAAGGAGATTGTGGTATTACACAGGCTTCGATTTGCTTCATTTTGCTAGCTTTATTTTATTTTGTGTTTTTGTTCAGTCCACTTATAATTTTTCAGCATGGAATTCAGATTGTTAATATATGAATCTATTTGTTTTATTTAATTACACAATATGTACAATAAACTTAAAACAAATTAGATGTTTTTTTATCAAATTAAACAAACAGCTTCATCTGGAATATTAGGAACCCCGTTTTGCTTTTGTAAGTATATTACCAAAATGATTTTTGGGTAGCCTACTGTGTCAGTATACTGCAAGAAAATACACTTTTGGTTGATTTTATGAATTCGGTAATATGTGCACTGGTTTTGTTCTTTGATTAGACTATCCCACTGTTTTGTGTTATATGAAAATTCATGATTAGGAATTGTAGCCCATTGTTACATATATAAAGAATTGTCTGCATTATTAGAAAATTATGTTGTTGATATAAATAGTTTACTGTTTTGTTTTGGTTGCATAATTTAGGAGTATGATTTTTAATTTCCCCACCTGCAAGTTCTTTAATTAAAAATACAACCTGAATAGAACCTGTTTGTTTCTGAAGAACGGAAATTATTTCCTCGTTTGAGAAGCCCACTGTTTACTTGAGTTTGTGGTTTCATTGATATTTATTTAATTAAATAGGAAAAAAAATATATGTTATGCTCAGCATATTCTGGCATGATTTTTTTTTTTTGGGTGAAGCCCACTATATAGTGTTTATATGCATTGTCAGTTTCTATTTTTCAAGAAGTGTACGGTTTCGAGTTTATTATTTTATTTTAATTCCCTATCATGATTTTGCATGTCTTTTAATTTTATCTTATAATGTGCATGTTTATGGGTGTTGCAATTTTTGACATGCTACTTATTTTTTAGATTTTAGTTTATCTTACATGATTTAATGTCTAGAATTTTTTTTCCATGTTAATTGCTGGAATTATTACATGGTTATTGTGTAGACACCCCATTTTTGACCGACCTTAAGACTCAGACGTCACCGATTGAGGGCTTGGTGATGTTGCATATCATGCTCGTTCAGAGGTTTTAGAGTCTCGGCTGCGAGCCTTGCCTCCGGACTTCCGGACTCTTTCATGCTTTGTCTCG